TCTTTCCCTCAGCAGTGTGCTCACAGCCCAGAACCCCCCCGTGTGCTGGGGCTGCATCCCCAGAGCATGAGCAGCAGATCGAGGGAGGGGATTCTCCCCCTCTGCTGTGCTCTGGGGAGACCCCCCTGCAGCCCTGATCCAGCTCTGGGGCAACAACACAAGAGGGACATGGAGCTGTTGGAGTCAGTCCAGAGGAGGCCACAGAGGTGCTGTGAGGGCTGGAGCAGCTCTGCTCTGGAGCCAGGCTGAGAGAGCTGGGCTGGTTCAGCCTGGAGAAGGCTCCTTAAGGGGAGACCTTAGAGCAGCTCCCAGTGCCTGAAGGGGCTACAAGAAACCTGGAGAGGGGCTTTGGACAAGGGCCTGTAGGGACAGGACAAGGGGGAATGGCTTTAACCTGCCAGAGGGGAGATGGAGATGAGCTCTTAGGCAGAAGTTCTTCCCTGTGAGGGTGCGGAGGCGCTGGCACAGGTTGCCCAAAAAAGCTGTGGCTGCCCCATCCCTGGGAGTGTTCAAGGCCAGGTTGGATGGGGCTTGGAGCAACCTGCTCTAGTGGATGGTGTCCCTGCCCATGGCAGGGGGTTGGAACTGGATGATCTTAAGGTCCTTTCCAACCCAAACCTGTCTGGAATTCTACAATTCTAAAACTGGGGGTTTGATTCAGGTATAAAGTCCACTGGTCAAAGCACTGGTGAAAGCCAGCACTGGTACCAGGAGGGCACCCATGAACATCGTTTCATCTCCTCTTGGGTGCTTTCTCACCCGTGAAGCAAGAACCACAGTTACATGTGGTTACACACCTCTCAAAGAAGCTTACCCTAGATTAATCAGCTCAATTTGCCAAAGCAAACTGGGCACTAGGTTTTGAGATATCAGACCAATCACACTTGAAAGTGAATTCTTCCTGCTGTTAAAAATCAGTGGAAGAGCTGAAAGCTGCACTGCTTTGTACAGAGCAACAAAGACTTCCCAAACACTCTGCATAGGCTGATGAGTGAAAAACATTCCTAAATTCATGTGGGCTGCTTAGCTCTTTTTCCATCTCTACATTATGACTCCCATCAGCAAATTAAGACTTGTTTCATGTTTCTAAAACTAGTATTTCTCTGAAAGTGCTATCAGCATTTTAGATGCTAAAATTCTTCCTTAAAATGATACTTTGCTGTGTTAAGGAGGATTATTTGAGGTACTTAAGAAACAAACAGCTACCAATGCTCTAATCGACCCAAAATAACCCTTAGCAGTAGGTAAACCGCTGGTTTATTTTACCAGGGAGGTGAGTTCATTTCTGCTCCCTGATGATGGTGGGGTGCTCCTGGCTGGTCCCTCC